TTTTTTTTTTTTTTACATACATAAAATCTTTTCAGTGTAGTGAATCAATTTCGTCTTTTTTCTTCTCCTTTTCCTGTATGAATTATTAATGAAGTCATGTACGGAATATCTGGGTCCTTAAAAAGCCATTTAAAAACTGTACCAATGTCCTGAGGACGCCTGGCTTTTATTATAAGGCGAGGCGGTGTTCTACAGATGATGGACAGCTGCGTCAGCCAATAAAAGACGCGGCGTCCATTCCACGGCCAATGACTGACCCGCGGGGGCGGGGCTAACTCGCCGTTTCATCCGCTCTCTCGCAAAGCAAGAGGAGAATCCCAAAAAATGACATCCAGCTTTTCCAGAGGAATACCGCGGCGTTTAGAGACGCTCTCCTGAAGTTTCCCTCCTCACATTACCACGGATTACAGCTCGCTCTTCAGATATGTAGTCAGTAGACTTCGGAAATGTGTGTTTAATACAGAAGGACAGTGTTTTTCCACACGACTCGGCTCTGATTCCAGACTCCCTCAGCTTCTAATCAGACATGTGTGATTTAATGCCAGCGGCTCAACCGGCCGAAAAAATCGGCAAAATGAAGAAATTAAGAAGAACTTTGTCGGAGAGCTTCAGTCGCATCGGTGAGTGTCCAAAAACACGGTAAAAACGCGGTAAAACGCGCGCCGTTATCAATCACAAGCTCGTCGGTTCTGAGGAAAGTTTGTTTTCACTGTAAGTTAAACGACGGGTTAATTAATCAAACGACGAATTTAAACAGAAAACGAGACTTAAACTTAAAAGTGTGAATGTGTAGTGCAGATGTGATTGTTCATCAGGCGCCTGAGCTCCTCACAAACCAGCCCGGAATAGAATACAGAATAGAATTGAGTAGAATTCTTCCGCTGACGCATCGGTATCTGATCAATGCGCTTTCTGCGGTTTCTCCCGCTTTGTGCTTCATTGTCAGGGTCTGAAGTTTCTGTGAGTTCATATCATTCACATTAATTCATATCTCATGAATCTCATTTGGGATCCCACAGATGTCAGTGCCCTTCATTTCTCTTCGGAATTCTTTAATATGTTTATCAGGGTTCTTCAAAACCTCTTTGTCGTTTGCTATGAGAAAGTCAGGTTGAATAGACAATAGATCTTTTAATAGACAACCATTTTTCTGTGGTTTTAAGGCTTTGTGGAAGATGTTAGCAGATGCTGAAGTGCTTTATGCTTCTCAAAAACATGCAGGTCACATTTCACCCCAAAATTATTATTATTTATTATTTATTTTTCATAAAGTGAAACATATGTACTGTAATTATATTTATATATTTTGTATATGAAAAATAATAATAAAAATTTATCAGGTTTCATCAACCTCTGACAGAT